GGAGTATCATGTGACATAAATGGGCTAATAATGCAAAGCTAAGCTAACTAGGCAGCACCAAAGTAAACATATATAAATCTAAGCATGGTTAATCATGGCATCATTAAACTAATCTGATTATAATGAGTTGTAGTTAAACAGCTTTGCATTAGATGCAATTAAATTCATTGAAGTCAAATTTCTGAGCTGAGAATCTAAGCTGAGGAAGATAATAATTACTCCTGACTGTCTAGCCTCATTAAGCAAAATAAATCTAAGTAGCCTTAAAGCTAATTATAATTATTGCCTAATAACTTGCACAAATTGAAGTTCACCCCAGATGCTCGAGCTTAATTGAAATATCTGTTGCTATGTAGGTCGCTCTTGAGAGTAAGTGTGTTTAATGCAGAGTAATTATTCACACAAACTTACACTGCAAAAAAGCAGCCTGTGAAATTCTAGTTTTCTTTTGTCTGCAGATGGGCAACAAATTATTTAGTTTATGAGAATGGGAAACCAGGCAAATAATGCGCCATCAAGAAACAGCAATGATGGCCCGAGGACGCCCCTTCACCTTTAGCGCCGTGCAGTTTGAATTGACAAAGGCAAACTGAGCTGAGGAAACTTAATTTTGTGTGCTTGGCTTTATCAGGTTTTCCGATGCTCGCGATGCTAAGTTGTGCAAATCAACCGGTATACATAACGACGCTGAATCCGGCCTTTTCGTAGCTGCCACGTTAAAAGAAAAAAAAAAACAGCACAAATTCGATGAAGCAAAGTTGCTCCCACCTGTTGCGTTGGCTATGAGTGCCGTAACCGCGTCAGAGCAAACGACATGAGGAGCTGACCAATACGACAGGACTCACATGCGCACCACAGCAGGCGTTTCACCGTTCGATGGTGCGTCGATGCTTACGGCCATGCGATCTTGTGATCTGTACACTTTTTTTCACGCCTGTGCATGCCAAGAACACAGCATAACTGCGCATTAATTGTGCCGCATATACGCATTAATCACCAGCTACAAATTTGCAGCTCCTGACATGTGTCATCATTGGCAATAAAGGAACAAATCAGTGCCACAGCAAATATTGCCTTATGTGCCCACCACATACTCATTTCTTTTTTTTCTCCAAAGTTGAGAGATTCTGGCACTTGGACGACCGTCCGATAGCGTGTGGTGGTGACGACAATGCCAAGAAGCATGTCGAAACTACTGTGGCGTCCGGGATGCGCACCAACTGACATAACTACAGAACGGACATAGTAATCGACTATCCATAATAAGTGTGTATGTGGTTTGCTACTAAATGAAAACAGCTCTTTTTGAAGCTCAGTATGGTTGCAGCAAGCCGATCGTCAACTGGCTGATTGCGTGGAGGGCTTTGCCTGCTTGGCTCACGCGTGACTTCAGATTCGCTTGCTGTAGAATGTGCGCACTCCCCTTCAGACCGTGCACAGTTGTGGCAAGTGGCTTGCTGGCTTAAGGCTGCAATGACGAGCTTTCTGCAAGTGATGTGCCCTTCCCGGGGCTCTAGCAGGCCTGTCAGTGGAGGAAGGCACATTTGGGCTGTCACTTAACGAAAGCGTGCAACAGCCCTACACTAGCTATACCATACACGTGCGTTTAGCCTGATAGCAGCAATACAGCGAGGTTTCTCCAGTGCCCGTGGCGAGCAAATGCTCAATTCTGCGACAGCAAGCTGCTTCCATTTCTAAATGTTGTGGGCGCTTGAACATGGCCCTATGAAACGCGGCGGCAACGATCGCCAGCCCAGGGCGTTTATATAGCCCCCTATTAAAAACGTGTAGCAGGCCTAACGTGACACTATGCCCTAAGCTTGCCTGAGCAGATAGCTAAAGGTAATTACTTTTATAAGGCTTTTTGTGGACAATAAGTCATACTGGCACGCTGATCGGTGGTTCCCGCCTCATCTTCATTCTGTGCTGCTGATTACCCACAAGGTCACCACCAAAACTGCGCTAAAGTCTGAATAATTGAATGGCCAATCCACACTCATCATAATGAAGGCAAACTGTTTGCGACACATCTTTTCTGTGGGGGCAAAATGCTGTAGGCCCGTGTGCTCAGATTCAGGTGCACATTAAAGAACCTCAGGTGGTCGAAATTTCCGGAACCCTCCACTACGGCGTGCCTCATAATCATTTGGCGGTTTTGGGATGTTACACTCCACATATTAATCGTTTGCGGCACATAGTGGTGCCGGCAACTTCAGCGATGCAGTTAACTTAGTGTATCGCCGTGAGACCACAGTTACGCATTTGTTCATATTTATTAAGAAAACGCTGTTTTTATTTTTTTGCATGTGAGACGACGTCATCACGGTGAAAAGTTTGACTCATGACACTTGGTATGCATACAAAAGCTGTGCACAATATATTGCACACTGGGACTCATTGACAAAAAACTGTATATTCAGGGATTGCAAGGAATGTACAATGATATTTTTACTAGCAGCAAACAAAGAATCTGGTCTCTTCATGAAACTGTTTTTAACATGAAAGTATTTTATGCTGCGGTCTACCAAGAGTTTAGTGACGCATTTCTGTCATGCAAATGGCGTAAAAAAATAGACCCACTAAAAAAAAAAATTTACGCCAATGAGAGTAGAACCCGGACCTCTCAGTCCTCGACAACAGATATCGGGTGTGCTACCCACTGGGCGACAACCACGTACTCTGGTGGCACTACAAGCATGCCTTTTATATCTAACTCTCTCATCTTACACTGCTCTTAGTAAAGAGAAGTTATACATCATGAGCATGACATCCACAATTAACTTCTTTAACGCGTAGTTTGTACCTGCTCTTCCTGCTCGGCACGTTTTTAATATAAGTGGAATTTCGTTGACGCAATGACACACCGCCAGGTGGAGGCTCTAGCCAAACTGTCTACAAGCGTCGGCTTTGCTCATATCGTCCATCCATAACAAACACAGCTTTGCGATGCACTGCACGCCTGCTTTGCCTGGCTGTAGTTCCACATTCTCCTTTAACCACCATACAATCAACCCATGAAAAATCCCGGCTGGCAAACGGAGAAAACGCAATTGGTGTTGCGTTTCAAGTGAGTCCGTCTAAGGTGAACGAACAAATGACCACCAATGTAGCTCAGTTGGTAAAGCATCTCGCGCGTTATACGAATGTCACATGTTTGGTTATCTAGTGGCAAGTTAGGTTTTAGTCCATTTTTCTTTATTCGCATGTGCATAACAATTACTGCTCATACCATCCTCTATACTTTCTTTGGTATCGACATGTGTTTGCTCCTCATTGCCAAAGAACAGTATATACAGTACATTTTCATTGAACAGAACCTGAAGGGGCTGAGAAAATATGTTCCCCTTTAACAAGAGTTCAATTTACTGAGAGAAAAACAAAGTAACGCCATTCAGGTACGGAACCAATAATATCCGAGTCAACTTTTTCATTTAAGCAGCAGTTCTGTTTAACAGATTTCTGTCTACTGAGAGTCCACTGTACTAGCACGCTTAGCAAAATGTGCAAGTATCAACAAGCTGATTGCAAAGCTGTGTTTTGGCTGTATATGCCGGTTCTCCCAACTAACCCAGGCCAAGCTTTAAAAAATGCTTACTGGAAAAGTTGTACCTGTTGTGTGTTGTTCGTGGATCATTGGAAGTGTTATTCGAAGGTCACAAGTTCAGTCCCTGCCCAGGGCAAGTTATCATTTCATCCACTTTTCTTCACATTTACAATACATTTAGTTTTAATAACATCTCCTATACATTCCTTGGCTTGATTGTCTGTTTTATCTAATTAATATTGTTTCTAACAAAGAAAACAAGTCCTTAAATGTACACTTCTTCATGTTAATGGTAGTCACATGTACATGAAACCTGTATTTTGGTTCATTACCAAGTATTAATTATAAATTTCAACTAGCCAATTTTTTTTGCAATTCTGTCTCGGATTGGCAAAATCTTATCTTGACGTGGTATGTCACCTCAGTTAATCCCAGAATTAAGCATTTATTTTGGGCTGAAATCCGTCCTGCTTTTTTTTTCTTTTTTTCTTAAAAAAAAAAACAAGCTCAAAAGGCATGCCATATGTAAAATTGGCGTGCTTGTGTGCAGGTACCAAGATGCTCGCAGGTGTTGTTGGTTGATACACGACTTCATGGTTGTTAATTGCTATTCAGAGCATCACGATCTTTGATAGACAAAAAATGAAAACATGCTGGTTCATTATTAGAGTTTAAAGGCCTGTACAATGCAGCGATGTGTGCAGACATGCCGTGTCTTTCGAAGAACCTGAAGCCCTGTACAAAGTGTCGGCGAACACATGCTGCAGTTGTGTGTTAACCAAAAGAGTCACAGCTTTGCTGCAAAGACAAAGCAATGAGCTCGATAACAACAAATTGGAAGGTCACGCGAAGAATTGCAAGCAGAGCGAAACTTGTCGCCACGTTCCTCACTGAACAAATAATGCTCGAAACGTACTCACAGGTGCAGATGAACATGCAATAAGCATCTCAGTTGTTACTTCGCTGTGTCTTAAAAGCACGCCCTTTTCACAAACAGGAGAGTGTGCAATGAGTGCAGTAACCTTTGTGCACCCGGCAACTACAGTGGAATTGTTCCTGTGAAAGCCCAAGGCTTGCCCTTGTCCCCACCGCGAGATCAGCGAGCGCACACGTGAGCGTCCTCTCTCCGCAGGGTAAAGTCATGCTTTATTAGGAAACACCGGTCCGTCACTGTGTGCTCTGCGCCTCCGCAGGTTTCTCTCCTGCACAATGCCGCAGTGAGTGCCAGCGTCAACCTTCGTTGCCAGTGTAAGCGGTAGCGCCCACTGCTTCGGGTCTATATACATGGTTCCTTGTGTCGGTGCTGCGAGGTGAGAGAGGGAGAGCATACGCACATGCGTAGTAAGGGTCGTCACACCGCACAACAGATTGATCTTGACCCTAACCTGCTTTACATCTAAAACAGCATAGATGTGATGAAGTATTTGTCTCTTAACCTGCTCAAAACTTACTGCAGGGCCTCCACCTTCAGAGCAGCATGCCACCCGACCAGCGTCTGCAAACCGCAGTTCTCTCAAACCTGGAGATTCTCTTCAGTCTTGCAAGAATACGGATCCTGTTAAAGAAGAGGTAGCTGACAGAAACAACATCTCTTCCATGGGCAGCTGTCCCACACATGTAGATGTGTAGTCTACATAATTTTTTTATTTGTCGCTGTGTGTGGCATGTTGGACGGTGATACTGAGCTGTTTTATGTATGTTAAAAACCTCGTAAGAGATTGAGCCAGACCTCATTATAATGAAGTAGCATCAAGACCATAAAGTAGATCAATGTATTCAATAACATAAGAGTAGAGATGAAAAGCGGCTTTCATAAAGCAGCCATCTGACAGTCCGGCTCGCGCATGATATCGAGATACAAGAACCTGTTATTCTAGGTCAGTGGTTCTCAAAGGGGGATCTTCGACGCCATTTCTAGAGATGCGTGAAGCCATCACCCGCTTTTTTTCACATCTTTTTTGTTCTTTTACATATGCAAATCTGTTTAAGAGTGACTGTGCCACGTATCGATGAACTGTCCAAAATGAAGGGGCACGCTTGTTGGATGTTTTTGGTAGCAAGAAAAGGCACCTGTTTCACGCTCCAGTTGTGTTAACTTACCTATGCACCCCCCCCCCCCCCCCGCCCTCCAAAGGGTCCCCCATTACTTCAACCAGCCCACAAGGGGTCCCCGACACATCCATGGCTGAAAACCACTGTTCTAGGCTTTGAACACACTGTAAAGAAGACAATCCTTGGCTGCCTTTTTGTGGCATCTCGAACTGCAGTTTGTACTGCGGCACAGCCAGTCAAATGCACTTTTATTGTGCTGTATGACCGAAGTTTCCACAACTCTCTGATGCTGTTGAAAAGGTGGGTGTAAATTGTCTTTCAATAGTCAGTTTTCATTTTAGGCAAACTTGCGAGTTTGCAGCCTTGTGTGAACCAAGTATACTAGTTCTGCGTTACAGCTGATATATAGGGGGCTTTGGAGTTTAGGGCTTCATTATGAAAAGAATGCCACGTAAATGAAACATGAGCAACGGATCTTCATATATAGTTCATAATAAAGAATAGTTCACTATGTCGCTGTTCGTTATAACGAGGTTTGACTACTGCTTTTGTCAAAGCTGTAGTGAAGAAACAGTTAACATAGAGACTAGATCAGGTAGTCCTGTCATTTCATGACTACTTTTCATCTTCATTCTATGTGATATGGTTGTAATGAATCTATAGTGAAGCAGCTGCCCCCATGGTAGCTTAGTATGTAAAATGTCATGCTGCAAAGCTCGAGGGCATAGCTCTTATTGCCGACCACAGTGTCAACAATTCAGTTAAGGTGAAATGCAAATATATTGAAATACATCCCAAAGGGGCCCCGAAATGGGTTTTTAAAGTTTTGCCAGTGTTTAGGCTTCGACATCATAAAATTAATTGCACCATAAAATGAGCGAAATACCTTGTATCAAGGCAGCCACGAGCTATTAAATGAAGCCCTCCTTCTCAGTATGGCTTTTCCTCCTTAACATCACAGCCGTTGCTGGCGACGGCAGCGCACTCAATGGGTTGGGCTACGCTACTATCTTTGTGGCCCCCACAATCAACTGTGACACTTTGACGGCTAGCTTTTGGGCAGCGAAAATGAAGCAGGTCGCAGAGCAGTTGAGATCTGGTCCAGCAGGTGCTGCAACACTTCTAGCCGCTCCTATTTTATTCCCCTCTATGAGGACAACCAGCAAATGACGAGTAGTATGCAGACAAGAAAAAAAAAAAGAATTTGATAATGACCACCCCTACGCATAAACTTGCGCACTGTTGTTATGCTTTCAGGGGTGAGGTTACACCACAGGCATGAGGATTCTAGCATTGATTGATAGGGTAGCGAGAGCTCTACGCTAACAGTAGCAACGAGTTGAAGTGACTTCGCTCAACAGTTGCCTTGCATGCCTTACACAATGTTGCAAACTTGCAAGTCACCAGTCACTAGATATGCAGCACATAACGTAGCTAGAGTAATAGTTGCAATGTGGGCTTGTTGGTGATGTATTTGAAAGAATTTTCGTTGTGCGAGGCGAAATACGGAAACAGAAAGGGCTAGACTGACAGGACAGAGCAGTTCTTCCAACAGATTTCAGCAATTGTGGATAGGGTTGGGAATAGTTAGGGCACTTCAAGATGTGTGAGAAAACAAAACTCCAGATAAACACTGTTGCGCAGCTCGCATCAACACAAAGCACGTTTACACAGGCACATGATGCTTGCTGTCTGTCGAAGTTTTAGTGATGTAGACTGGACATATCCAATGATATCAGTAGCTGATGCTCCATATAATAGAACAATGTTCCGTAGAATCGAAATGGGAAGTTGAAAACTCGTTCTGCTGTACTGCTGCGATCCGCAACAATTCCGTAGTATTGAACACCTTCAGGTAAATTACAGACTTTGTGCAGGCAACCTAAATTGGTCTGCGAATAATTCTTTGTACTTGCTTTGCAGGCTCGATGTATATGCAGAAGATTGTCAAAGTGAAAATCCTTACCGAGGTGCTTAAATTAATTTAGGAGTTCCCAACTGTGTCGTGCCTCATGTTCATATTGTTATGGTATTTAAAACACCCACCAGCAATTAATATTGTCATATTACCAAGGAGCACGATTTGCAGTGCTCCAAAGTTTCTAATTTTAATCAAATCAGACATATCAGTATGCAAGTGTATGTGTGGTTCACTATAACTGGTAATCTTCTTTATGTGATGAAATGAAAATGGCTCTGAACGCATTGCTGTGCAAAGCATTCAGAGTCGATGCTGGTCTTGGCAAGGCATTTACATTCACTGATGCTGCTACGTTAAGCGTCAGTTACTGTTCAAGGACTAAGAAAGAGTAGACTGTTCTTTTGCTTTGTTTTGCCTCTACCCGCTATGAGTTATTGTCTAGCCTTTGCTGAATGATTTAGGCTCGTTTACTTTATAAATATAGTGGTAGATAAATATAATAAATATACAATGTTACAGACTATCCTGATCGATATTTTGACAAAGGAACATCAAAAGCACTATAAAGGGACACTAAAAGCAAATGGAAATTTGTGTCAAAGTGGATTCTCTATGTATGACACCATCTAAAATGGCAATATTATCTACAGCAGTGCCCTACTTACCAAGAAGTCAAGCTTAATGTACCAGACCACGGGCCCCATAAGTTGGATAGTTTGGAAATGATCCCGACGAGGTCGAAGCATCCCACTACAATTAATCACTAGTAATCAAACTAGCTGCAATAATAATAATAAAAAAGAATCCTGTGTGCATCAAGAGGCGTAATAAAATGCTGCTTGTCCGTTTCTGTTTGAGTATAGAAAAAAGAACCACCTGGCGTTACTATGGGGAACGATGCAAGTGCTTCAAAATTTTTTTGCCTTCTCAGGCTGAATAGATAGTGCCATCTAGCGGGGCTTAATTGAACCCAGGAAAAGATGCCGCGTGCCCGCCATCTTAGAGGCTATGGCAGAAAATTGTTCAATGGCCGTTGTTCCTGTTGTGGCTCTCGCTACTTTTGCTGTTCTGCCACTAGTGTCTGTGATCGTGCAGTAAGGGCGATATTAGGCACAACAACAATGGCATGAAATGGACTGATATCAGGTGGGTGATTTGAAATGTGCTACCACGATGCGGACCTCTAAAACGTGATTTTATTTCAAAATAGGCACTTTCTTGGCACATACCGTGACACTAAACTAGGACTATGAGGTGCCTGGACCGCTATTTCACCAATCAACACCGACCTAATGTTTCCCTTTGGTGTCCCTTTAAGGAGGACCAAAATGGTAGTTTTGTCAGGTGGACTTTTTTGAATGCTGTGTGCTTATTTGGTGGAAGCAAAGCTGTGTTTTTAGCAGAGGGGATGAAGGATGAAGGATGTTTTTTGTTTCTGATTTTTTTACCACCCAAGTGGAGTGTCGTAGTCTGTGTGATCTGAGGAATTTTGAAATATTTCAGCATGTTGGAGTTTTTTTTCTTTTAAAGTTCTTTGAACTGGCTAGGCATGCTTATCAATACGACACTGTTAACTTCATTCTGGAGCATATGACACCTTAACGTAATGGAGTCACGAGGAGCCAGCTTAAAAACTTGAGTTGCACTTTCTTTTTGTCTATTTAATAGCTGAGTGAAAACGAAGGCCCAGTGATTGTGCGACTCCAGAAGATTATGCTTTTGTTAATCACTGTAGGAAAAAAAAAGTGTCATTTGTGTTAATGAAATTGTAACCTTTTTTTCTTACGTTGAAGTTTTACAGCTCAGTGGCAAAGCTATGTAATGTCTCCCTCAACGTGACTGCTATGTTAAAGGACAAGAAAAAACTGCATGAAGTATACCTCTACTTAGTGTACATTGGAGAAAACTCTATAGATGTGATGGATGTTGATGGATGTAAGTTAAATTACCTCCACGTGTAAGGGGGTTTTGCATTTTTAATAGGAAGTGGGGTGTGACAGGATCACTGCATAGGGTGTTTTTTCGTTCTAATATTTAACGATCTTTTGGTTAATCATCAGGAAAAAAAGTGCATAGGGGTGTGTGCAGTGTTATGACAGTATAACAAAATGACTTGACACGCACATGCACAGACAAAAAAGTATGTCACTATAGCTGTTGCTGCAGGTAATTATGCCAATAATACAGTTCATGCAAAAAGGGAAGCAGGACAATACAATTGCTGCAGCAAGTAACCATGCCATACAATTGGCAAAAAAAAACTTGTGTTTGCAATAAATGTAATTTCATGCTAATATAAGTAGCATCGACAAAAGTGGTGAAGCTAAGCTACATTGGCTGTCACTATGCATTACATGTTGTCTGCTTTGCTTAGCTGCTGTAGCTAAGCCTGGTTTTGTTATCTTGGAAAAAGCTATAAGCATCTCAGATTTTTTTACAGTAAGACAGCAGGTACTTAGGCTTAGCATGTGTGGTATTGCTAAGTAAAGATGCACTGTGCAGCATTCTCATGCTTCTTATAACCTCTTGCTTATCAAACTGTGGCAGTGATATTTTTTATATGTTTACTTCTGCAAAAGCAAGTTTGATTGTTTAGATGCTAGTATCATGACAATTTCACAGCACTGCTGGCTGTTATTGTTACTGTGATGTGTTTTAATCAAATGTGCAACTTGCAACAAATATAGTCTTCCTTCTAGGTTAAGGTTTTTATCGAAATCTCATCACAGACCAAGGAGGAGGCTGTGATCTTTCCGTCCACTAATGCACTCTCGTAGAAAAGATGTTGGTTTATGAGATGTCGCAATGGTGCTTGTATTTAAACCAAAGACACACATGCAGCTGGCCTGGCTATAGGGTACGATATGAATTTGATATAAGCACAAGTGTGGCTATGATGACATCAATGAAGGCATTTCTAATTTTTGTTGTAAATGGATTTCGGCCTATGTGCTACATGTCCGCTTTTTCTTATTGCAGTATTAAATTGTTATTTCTACCTTCTGAATTTGTTGTCTGCTTGCTGGTTCCTTTCCCCATGGTCACTTTCTGACATGTGTGCCATCTATGTTGCTGCTGCAATGGTAGTGTACTTGTAAAAATCTGCCAAAGTAGAGCTCCTTGTGCCGGGTATAGTATCCCACTTTGTGCCGGCATGATTAGAATAATGGTAGGGTGGTAGAAAAAAGGCAAAATTGTTATACCTATATTGAGGAGCAGTTAAACAAAGAATATATTGCCACGTTCCATTTCCCAAGTTTTTGTTATCGTCCGAAAACACCACACGATTCTCAGCGCAAACCGCGCCTGCAGCTTTCGAGAAGGTTCCGGACTGTAGTAGATCATTTCGATAAGATCACGCCCACTGCGCGAACGGTACAGATTGTTCTGGAACCTACGCCACCGCCAGCGATAACGCTAGAACAATCGACAGCAAGAGTATAAGTGCCGACGCGCTTCGCCGCTTGTCAGTTGTTGATCGAAGGCCGACGCTCCGTTCGCCGCTATCAGTCCGAGACTGCTATCTGTGCAAGACTGCTGCTGTAATTGGACTTTCCGTTTACCGGGCACAGGTTCGCCGAAATAAACAGTTAAATCCCAACACGAAGTCTCCTGTCTTCGGCCACGTCA